ATTGAAAAGGAAGCAAATAAAGTTAGATCTAAGAATTGATTTGCATTTCAGTGAATTGGCCAATGTCTCTAATTCTGTCCATCACAAAGAAAAAGTTTTCTGAAGAAGTAATGAAATACAATGCATTAAGTGTCTGTGACCTCATCAGGTACATTTGTTAATACATGGATTGGGTGTATTAACTAAGACAGGATAATCTCCTGACTGTACCATAGTGGTGAGAGTATAGCATCACGTGATCAGCAGGTTTAGTGTGTGGGGAGATTAACAGTCACACTGTGTGAGGTGATGTTGGAGGCAGGGATGGGGAGGGTCAGAGTTTTTCTGAAGGAGGGGGAGGAAATAAAGGACTGTCATGCCATGTCAGGTGTTGATGTTGGAGGCACAATATGGGGGAGGGTCAGAGTTTCCCTGATGGAGGGGATTGAGGACTGTCATACTATATTAGGTGTTGATGATGTTGAAGGCATACTATGGAGTAGGGTCAGGGTTGATGGATTAAGGAAGGGATTAAGAATATTGGTAGGTGTTGGTGATGTTGGAGGCATGGGATGGGGGAAGGTCAGGGTTGATGGAGGAAGGTAGGAGGGAATTAAGAAGTATCACACCAATATTGTCAGATGTTTGTGATGTTGAAGGCATGGGATGGGGAAGGTTAAGGGGTTGCGGGGGGAGGAAAAGGTTAAGCAGTGTTACACCAATATTGTCCAGCGTCGGTGATGTTGGGAAGGAGATGTTCAATATTGTTGGATTATTGTGAGAGTGGGTGGATGGCTGCAAACATTAAGTGTATGGAAGTAAAAAGGATGGTTTAAGGTATACAGGAAACAATGAGTATTGTTTACCTCCGGTGTATGATTGGTTTGTGATCGCACAATTGACATGGACAACTGTTCAGATGTTTATAAATATTATCTACAGATTGATCAATATTATTAAGGTCAGATAACAAAAGAGGAAAGTTTCCTTCTCAAATAAAATTTAAGTAACATGTTTCCGAGTGCTGTTGATGAGGTGATTAATTTTCATAATAAACTATTCAAGTCAATGTTAATTATGTAATATAATAACACAGTAAAAAAGTAGTAGTTGATTTGTTTTTGGAATGAGATTACTGTTTCTTCCAAAAATAAAAGAAGATTTTATTTAGCACACCTACAGTATCGGTATTGAATACTGCATATAATACTGCATGTCGTTTTTGTACATGGATACAGGTGACTAATAAAGCAAATGGCACAGAAAGAAAATATCAAACATCTTGCCTCCAGCACAGTTTACTTCAAAGTGAAGAGAATGTGAAGTAGCAGGTATGCAAAGTTCACAAGAACATGGAAAAATGAGACGAGATATTCATTTCCTGTCTGAAAGTTCATATGTCAAATGATACATTTCCTAAATTTGGTATCCGTGCCCTGAACTTGTGAACTTGTGATATCAGGACATTTACAAATAACATTAAATTGTTCTTTGATGCCAATGAAATATTATAGCAACACTGCCTGTAACTAAAGTGATATTTATCTAAATAAATGAACCAAGAAATTCTGTGTGTTTTCTGGTTTCAGGTTTCTACAGAGATAACAAAAAATAACATGTCCGGTATGTGTGTTAGGTTTGTAACCTTTCTCCCCAGATTGTAGGATGGACCTGTCCATGCATTGATGTAGGTGATACTAATCTAGACTGCGGGGATAACAGGGGCCACTTCCCATTGAAATATAAGATACAGTGTCTGCAGCTCAAGGTCATTCACGTGTGAAGGGTCTGGGGTCATTAAGGTCACTTCATAAGTGGTCTGATGAATTCAGGGGCCATGGAGGTCACATTTCAAAGGTGGTCTGAGTGAGACTGGGGTAAAGTTCAGCCATGGGGCTGGAGGTCAAATGTGGTGGTCACTTGTAGTCACTCATGCAGAAACACCTGGAATACCAATTGTGTATTGTCTGGTTGTTTCCCCTTTAATTAGCTTCTTTAACATCCCAGATCATGTAACTTTTCGCTTCACCTGAGAGCAACACACATTGAAAAAGTTACTGTTTAACAAAAACTTTTCGCTGCAGTTTAATGAGAGAAATTTCATCACAACATACCATACATGATAATAACACTGCATGAAAACAGATTACACTGGTGAAAGGCGATAATTTGACTGGGCGAATCAGTTTCCCAGTACACAGTATTTAAATGTTTGCTCTTGAACATTTGCTTGTGTTTATTTCATGCTTGATCTATTTATTGTGATCCTTGTTCTAAACTTTTCAAAAGTCATTAGGGGTGAGGTATGAATTCCACATGTTGAACTTAAATCTGACATTACCCTGTAATGTCAATTACTGATTTAGAATTAAGCAAAACATGTTGCCACTTCTACACAAATTTTAATGTTCATTTTACGTAATCATTAAAAAAATGCTGTTATTATGACTAAAAAACATCACAAATTTACTTCATCTGATGAGTAATGACTTGAAATGTCCATTATTGATAAGGACAATACTCAATATTTTGATGTTAGGTTGGAACCTTCCAGTAATTCTGTCCTGCCTGTGTGTAAAATTTGAGATGGAGCTTCTCTTTAACTGGCCTTATTTGGTACGAATGGTAAAGGAAATCCTAGATGTAGACTGATGACAGCTTGTGGGAATTTGTTTTAGTGTATCTCGGTCATAGACCCTGAGGGCCCTCTGCTTTGTCCATTTGTGGGGTCAGTTAAGGTCGGTGCCTGACCAGACAGATTTTGGGGTGTGAAGGCTAATGAGGGGGAACACCAAGTGGGGAGGAGGAGGAGATTAGGGTCTTGTTCTCTGCAGGAGGAGGTTAGGGTCATGTTCTCTGCTGGAGGAGAAAGGAGGGGGCAGTAATTACTGGTCCCACTCTCCACACAGCTGTGAACACTGGATTTACTGGAGCTATTATAATATTTGTGTTTTAGTCCACACCAGATTAACTGGCCAGACCAGTCATCCTGATTAGCTAGGTATTCATTACAGTTAAATTCAAAACACACACTCATATACGCATAGAGGTTTACACAGATTATAAAAAGTTAAACTCAAAGGATGAGGAACATGAAATCACTCTTGATATAAGAAATAGAAGAAAGTAAAATTACGTTTAAAGATTGTGTTGTAACCTAACAAGGCTTTAGAGTAGAAATACCAGCAGGCCACAGGTCAGGCTAGACATGAACTGTAATTTAAGGTTACACTAAATGCCACTATAGATTGACCTGGATTCAGCAGACAGCCCAGCCTCTATACCTGTAAGTTGACATAATCTAGCTCCCATACCAACACATCTACCATGTTACACTGTATACCTTTATTTCAAGGGATGATACAGATGGGCATCTTCCTGATCAGATAAACAGGTGACTGCTGGGATTTATAGTAGAGATTGGACGGAAGTAAGATATATGTGTACTTCAGGATCACAGGGTGAAGGGGTTCACCCATTACTGTGATAGCTATAATGGTTTAGTGATTATAGTTAAAGTCTCCCAACACTCATTGGTAACTTCATACTCAAAATATAGCTGGCATCAAGTTATCTCAGTTATTTGGGTTTTTTACTTATATCAGAGACTGATTTAATGTATAGTGTGTACTTGTGTAGTCTTTTAGAAAACCTTGAATCTTTGTTCTGGTTGTAGGAATGTCTCGGCTGGATTAAATGGAAATCAGATTTATAAATGTTACAGTTATTTTGCATTTTGTTCTGTTTTGGAGTTTGATATTTACATGAATTTGAAATAAGTATCGTGTGTTAATAGCAGACATCCTATAGCTACAGGAAGTCAATGCACAGGGTCACTTACAAAAGGCATCCAACAGGTTGTCAATATATGCAAGGTCGCAATATTAGCAGACATCGTACATGTATTCAGTATCCAGCATTTGGCATATTGATTTCCCCTTCAATGTCTTCAGGGTTTTCATTGTCTCCACAATTTAAACTTATGGAAGGACAGTACACTTGTCGTGTTAATATATATCATTACTTCTTTCAATTTAGAGAAGTTCTGTAGCATACAATGAATATTAAGTCAGTGTTGTGTATCAGTGGGATGCCAGAGACTGTAGCTCCTTCTATTTATAATACAGTACAATTACTTTGTATAACCACAGTAATGGGTAGGACCAGGTCAAGGGGTCAGCCTGTGCCACAGTAACAATACCAAGGTGATCTGTGTTGCTGACAGTTGTATGGTGATCCAATAATAGAGCCAGCCAGTGGCTACTGTGATAACATCTTTCTCGATACACTGCTATTTTTGTGAGGATAAATGTGTTATTTATTTATGATTGTGAGGATATATATATCTATACTGTCAATGATGATATCTACAGTAATAGTATACATTATTTGTCACTGTCACCCCTATTAGGAGTTACTGTATTTATCCTGCAACAAACCCAGGGGGCCAACATATAACTTCTTATTCAAAGTAGGGGGTGAGCTTATAACAGGACAATTATATAACAGTTGTTGACTTTTCTAATGAACTGCAATAGAAATGCCGAGAGGCTTATTACCAGGCATGGGTTTACTGTTGGATAAATATGGTACGGTATAGAATAGGGCTTTAACAAACAGGCTTAGATTAGTTTGATCCTATTACTTTGTACACTACTCAGGATTGGATCTCTTTATACGGCTGACTTTGGCCGTCAATATTTCGTCTTAGTTATTATGTGAGCCATTATGGTCTCAGCAATATTTACTTCTGCAGTACCAATATTATACCTGTAAGGGAACTTGAGTTTGCAATTGAAGAAATAAAAACCTACATTTGTTAAATTATACTTAAAATAAAATACACATCCATATAAATAATGTATGTGTAAAGAGTTACAGCTGTAGCGAGATATTCTGGTGCATGCACTGGAGCTCTTTGCCAAATAATGGTATAGAGAGAAAATAATTTCATTCCATGCCATTTTCGTCTAAACAGTTATTGTTGGATATTAATTTTGATTTAAACTTTTGTTTTGTAGATGCAGCAGTTGTTTTACCAGAACTACAAGGAAGAAATTGGGTCATTCCAGACAACATTAAAAGACAAGGCTGTCCGTGTGGCCTTGACCCTTCACTCTGTCAAGGATCCAAAGCAGCAATATCGCATTGCAAATTACCTTCGTTCGCTTCATATAGAGGACCTCCACCAAAAAGAGCTCAGCCTCCAAAGGGAGATAACTGTGGTTGACAGGATTACAGGTTTACATAAAGGAAGTAGTGTAATTAACAAACAAGGGTTGTCACCATCAGTGATGAAGTTTTCACCAAAATCAGCTGATGAGATTCTTTCGTGGGAATTTATTTCCAAGTCTGTTATTTCTCACCAAGATTCCAACCCTCGGCATGGTTTAACTCTTCCCATTAAAACAACGATGGAGGAAGTTATTATTCAAGTGATGCAAATGGTGAATAGAAATGCTTGTCGAAAAGGTCGGACGATAGACTTCAAAAGTCTGTGGTATGGCTACCATCGGGTAAGTCCTTTACATGGAGCCGATTATGTGCTGGATCTGTTGCTCACTTACAGAAAACACAAGGGACGGAAAATGACTGTGCCTGTTCGTAGACATGCTTATGTACAGCAGGTGTTCGGTGGTATAGAATCCATAGAAGATCCCTTTACCTCTCACAAACACTCGTATGAATCGGAGTTTGAATCGCCCTTTCTATTCAAAGACCTCGGTGCTGGAAGTGTCTATGAAACACTACCATCAAAAAATAAAATGGCCGAGACAATACATTTTATACTGCCCTTGTCGGGCCGCCTTCATATATTTGTGAGATTTTTAGAGAATTATGAGAAAACTTGTCTCAGAACTAAAGAAAATTGTCAGTTGCATGTGGTTCTGTTCAACAAAGACATGGAAGCCAGTGTTGTTGAGGACCTTGTTAACTTAGTGGGGAAGTACCAAAAACAATATGGGGGATCAAGTATAGAAGTGACATTTGCCGACGGTCCTTTTGCTCGTGCCAAAGCATTAGATATGGGAGCAGCCCAGTGTGAGAGCGATTCTTTACTGTTCTTCATTGATGTGGATATTAAGTTTAGTAGGGAGGCTCTGATGAGGATTCGTCTCAACACCAAGAAGGGTGTGCAGGTGTATTACCCTATAGTGTTTAGCCAGTTTGACCCCGTCCTTATATGCAATGAAACCCACCCTTCTTGTGAAGTGAATTGGCGAGACTTTTCTTCCGAAATGGGGTACTGGCGTAGCTTTGGCTACGGCATTGTGAGTTTGTACGGAAGTGACTTGTCGGCTGTGGGAGGATTTAACACCTCCATTCAGGGCTGGGGTAAGGAGGATGTGGATCTCTACTCCAAGTTCTGTGACAGCAACATTACCGTGTTCAGGTCTATAGACCCACACTTAGTTCATGCTTTCCATCCCATCATATGTGACACAAAGCTTGAGGAAGCCCAGTATCAGATGTGTCTGGGCTCTCGAGCTTCCAGCTATGCTCCTGTAAACAAGCTAGCAAACATTGTGTACAACCAGCCTAAGATTCTTAACAGAAACAAACCAGTGATGGGGCTTAGTTGATGTTTGCTATGCTTAGATACATCATCATCACTGTCATCATCAGCACTGTCATCATCCTCATCATCATCATCATCATCATCATCTACATTTACATCTACAAAATTACCACTGCCATTATGTATCATGAATGCCATGTCTGCAAATTTATGCCATTATCATTGTATTCATACGTTTTGTTTAATAGGTATTATTTTTACATGCAACAACATGCACCCTTGTATGCCTTATATGGTGAGAAGAGATTGACTTTTACGAACCTCAACGAAAACAAAATTTTCTAATTTTTTCTATTTTGTACAAATGTAAATTTGTGTATGGTCCTGTTTTTCAAGGAAATGAAAGTTGAACAATTTATACAAATTTATAGTTAGCCATAATTCAACAATTTACATACATTATAGGTATTTACAGTTCAATGTTTTATACACATTTTATAGGTAACACATCACAGTCACAAATCATGCCAAAGTTTAGAGTGAAATGTTCTGAAACTGATAGTGCCTTTGTATACAAGATGGAGAAAGAGTCATTTTAGAATGGAACGACATACTATTTACTGGTGCCTTTATTTCAATATGAAATATTAACAAGGGAACAATGAATATCATTCATGTACTTTTCATTAGTGTCTATTGTTTTCTGATATTGTATGGTTGAATTTCAAATTGGAAGAAGAGAGTGACTTTAATATATATACTATTTTTTTGTGCAGATAAGAGTTATCTCCCCTTAAATATTTGTCTTCACTGATGAGCGAGACAATTATTTTTGTTAACTGTTGATAATTATCACTGATAGATCTCAGTTAAGAGATAACATGATATACATATGCTATGATAAATCCCAGCATTCACTGATATTGGGACACCATTTCAACCTGAAGCCAGAGACATATATTCATGTGTCTGCAGAAACTGGTAAACTGGTTTGTTTTTCTTGTATTTCTGACACAAAACCACATTAAATCTTTAAACTGAAACATATATACGTTTTTTTAAGACCATTCATAGCTGTAGACTGTTTATTTGTGTTCATCCGTCTTAAGATATAAATGAAATTAAAATCGTAATTATGCAATATATAATTCTCACTGTACTCTACATGGCAGGACGGCAGAGTAATAATAAGCAGGTGATATAAAGCCCTGTGGAATACAGGTATATGTTCTAGATAAACTGAATAAGATAGGTTAAACTAGTACTCGGTTATACTGGAAATAAGCTTTCATTGTCAGAAGTGCATGAAAACAAAACCTGATTAAACTTTCCCCTGTCGAACATCGAGTACAATAAGTGTACATTAACATAAGGATTTAATTAGTTGTCTACAACACGTTGGTGTCCAGCACTGAAGTTGTTCTGAAGAAAATAAGAACCTGGCCATGTGAAGATGTATGTGTCTCTAAACAGACACTTTTATGATAAGTATGCATGTTTTATTACACATCAATTATACAGTCTGCCTGTCCGTGGAATCAGGGCCATAAATCAACAGTCGGAAACTTCCCCATAGGAACCTAGACAGACACAAAATGGTGCTACTACCATAGGTCACACCAGGAAGCTATACCTTCACGATTTATCTGGGTAAGCTGACATGTTCTCAAACTGTCACATGGTGCTGCTACCATAGGTCACATCAGGAAGCTATACCTTCACGATTTATCTGGGTAAGCTGACATGTTCTCAAACTGTCACAACCAGACCTTATTATATAATTTACAGGAAACTTCATTATAGTTTCCCTAGGTTCTACATGAGATTAAATTTGTATTTACATAACTGTATTAATATTTAAGGATACATTATCACTACACTTTTGATATATACCTTTACACAACCAATGAACTCTCTGAGTCAATTTTGCCATGGAAGAGTCAAAATATTTTTTTAATTTCGATTCTTGTTGGACATGCTTACTTGCCAAATTGATTAAATTGGCAGTATGATCTCTACAGTAACAATGCTATTGACATCATTTTCTGCGACTGTACATGTATGCTACTGTAACATTTAAAGACCATGTCTTAATTTGTTACCAAACGTGGCCAGTGTGTATCAACATGTGTACAGTAAAGTAGAAGAATGTCTGAGTTAGATTTTAACTAATTTGAAATTAAAAATAAAATGAACCTGTACAAGTGGTACTTTCACATGCATACAGAACTGTTTCATAAATAAATGATGCTTGCCAGCTCCACTTATCTCAGTGATTGATGTATTACATGTCCAGAATGCTGGTAGGTGAAGTTTATAGCACAAGCTTGTTTGCCCCTTGTGAACAGACACAACTTCTGATATGCTTTTATAGATTACTCCATATTTGAAGACTTAATTAAAAGTAATGAACTGCAGATGTTTGGTGTACAAAATGATGAAAAACTTTCCATCCGTATCATTTCTGTCTTCAATAAATAGTAAAAAATGTCTTTGTTCTTTACTGGAAGTGTATGTCATTAAGTACAACTAGTTAACTAGTTCTGATGTAATTACAAGCACCCATTAACTGCCTCACCAGCTTAATGAAAAGTTCAAACACATACTCAAAATGCATTTTTTTCAGGACAATTTGAAAATACAGTGTGTATTACACATTTTTTTGTATTTCTTGTTTGTAAACAGTAATTTGGAATACTTAAACATGAATATTATTGAGATTTTTTTTATGTTTTTGAAAAAATCCCAGGCAGATCAAAGATTTGCTAAGCTAATCAGGATCTAAACACGACTAAAAAGTATAATGATCCCTATTTGACAATAAATATATAAAAATGTAGAATGACAAAGTTTAAACTGTTTTGAACAAAAAGCATGATGCAGGAAATCTTCCTCAAATTCAAATATACAGAGACATGGCAAAACCCATTTTTATCCTGAAATAAAGGCCATGAGGACAAAGCCATATTCTCTGACATGAAATAGTGGGTGGGCTTATTGACAGGATAAGGAAGTAGCATGTGTTGGCTTTTCTACCAATTTGTGATCATGTGTATGGTTGGGCTTATTTCCAGGCATGGGCTTATAATATTGCAGGATTAATGCAGTATATTACAGGATTATATCATAATGTGGGGGGTTTATTAGGCTCCTCATAATGTGGGGGGGTTTATTAGGCTCCTCATAATGTGGGGGGTTTATTAGGCTCCTCATTTGCAGTAGTACAGGGATCCCTAACTTATATCATATAGGGATCCCTAACTTATATCATATAAGGATCCCTAACTTATATCATATAGGGATCCCTAACTTATATCATATAGGGATCCCTAACTTACATTATAAAGGGATCCCTAACTTATATTATAAAGGGATCCCTAACTTGTATTATAAAGGGATCCCTAACTTGTATTATAAAGGGATTATAATTCCATGCACACATTCTTTTGTTGCCCCTATTCCAAAGTCATGTGAATTTGATAGACTGCAGTAAACAGTTTGATTTAAGTTAACTATTAAATTTTCCATTAGAAAAGAACACTTGTTCTAACAATAACAAAGTGTTTTCACACGGAAATGTGCCAGTGTTTTCAGACAGAAATGTGCAAGTGGGTGTCAAAGTTCATGCACCACACACATTATACACATGTAGTCCCAGGATGACAAGTTTTGTTTGGCCTGACTCATCTGTAAGTAGGATGAGGGGCATTCACCGACCTTTGACCTTGGACTGCTGAAGTCAGGCTGGGGGTCATAGAGTGCAGTGAGCACTGTGTGGTACTGTGCCACCAGGAGTTGTCGTCTACTGGTAATACTGCCTATACCTGCTGGTAGTACCTAGTACTACTTATACCAACTGGTACCTGCTGGTAGTGCCTAGTACTACTTATACCACCTGGTACCTGCTGGTAGTATCTAGTCCTACCTATACCAGCTGGTACCTGCTGGTAGTACCTAGTACTACTTATACCAACTGGTACCTGCTGGTAGTACCTAGTCCTACCTATACCAACTGGTACCTCATGGTAGTATCTAGTACTACCTATACCAACTGGTACCTGCTGGTAGTACCTAGTACTACCTATACCAACTGGTACCTCATGGTAGTATCTAGTACTACCTATACCAACTGGTCCCTGCTGGTAGTATCTAGTACTACCTATACCTGCTGGTACCTGCTGGTAGTATCTTGTACTACCTATACCAATTGGCACCTGCTGGTAGTATCTAGTACTACCTATACCAACTGGTACCTGCCGGTAGAACCTAGTACTACCTATACCAGCTGGTACCTGCTGGTATTATCTAGTACTACCTATACCAACTGGTACCTCATGGTAGTATCTAGTACTACCTATACCAGCTGGTACCCGCTGGTAGTATCTAGTACTACCTATACCAATTGGTACCTGCTGGTAGTATCTAGTACTACCTCTACCAGCTGGTACCTGCTGGTAGTATCTAGTACTCCCTATCCCTGCTGGTACCTGCTGGTAGTATCTAGTACTCCCTATACCAGCTGGTACCTGCTGGTAGTATCTGGTACTACCTATACCAACTGGTACCTGCTGGAAGTATCTAGTACTACCTATACCAATTGGTACCTGCTGGTAGTATCTAGTACTACTTATACCAACTGGTACCTGCTGGTAGTACCTAGTACTACTTATACCAACTGGTACCTGCTGGTAGTACCTTGTACTACCTATACCAACTGGTACCTGCTGGAAGTATCTAGTACTACCTATACCAACTGGTAACTGCTGGTAGTATCTAGTACTACCTATACCAATTGGTACCTGCTGGTAGTATCTAGTACTACATATATCAGCTGGTACCTGCTGGTAGTATCTAGTACTCCCTATACCAGCTGGTACCTGCTGGTAGTACCTAGTACTACCTATACCAGCTGGTACCTGCTGGTATTATCTAGTACTACCTATACCAACTGGTACCTCATGGTAGTATCTAGTACTACCTATACCAGCTGGTACCTGCTGGTAGTATCTAGTTCTACCTATACCTGTTGGTACCTGCTGGTAGTATCTAGTACTACCTATACCAACTGGTACCTGCTGGTAGTACCGTTATCTAGTCCTTCCTGTACTGTCATATTGTGGTACAGGAATTTCAAAACGTAGTTAGCATATGTTGTCATTTCTGTATTGAATGTAAAATCCCATTTATTATTGTCTATATGACTACAGTAAAATAGTAATACATGTGTATGTACAAGTTCTGTTGAAAATTGCTTAGGATTGTTACTGGTAGATTTTGTTCAGCGATTTGGACTTGTAGCCTTAAAAACTGCTAGTTCTTGCATAGTGTCGCAGCTGCAAATGTAAGTTATGTGAAAAATTCCACTGAAACTGAGGCAGACCTGGCATGTCTGAATTGAATAAGGTGCCAAAGTTCTTGTTTTTCTACAAATGACAGCCATAAACAAACTTAGTGCTAATATGAAACATAGACATGATAATTATTAACCTAGCCGATATTACAGGCTAAGGACTGCTTCAAAGTTTTCTACCTTTTATTCAATATGCTGTCTGAAAACAATTATAATGACTTTTACCAAACATAAGGCTTTAATTTTTTTTATATTTAAATGGCATCAACGACAATAAACACCTTTGGTCCCAGGGGACCTTCAGCTGATAACGTTTATGTACAAGATATATGCATGTAGACATATAAGGTGGTATGTATTGGGCATTAGATATTGTGTTTTATAATAATAATTGGAGGTTCTTATATACCGCTTTATCACAACCTAGTACGTAGGTCGTCTCAAAGCGGTTCACAAATTATTATCCGTGGTTATAGGGCCTTTGCAACTAGCCAGTACATTTCTCAACTCCCTGGGGAGCATACAGCCGGAGCTGTCATTTCGACGCTAACAGCTAGCATTCAACAATTCTAGCACTGCCCAACCACATACTCATTTACAGCTGAGTAGACTGGAACAAGCGGACCCCCAACCCGCAACCCTTCGGTCACAAGCCCGGCATCCTGCCACTGGACTACCGTGCCTCCTATCCAACATGTACCTCTGTCACATAATTAATTACAGGCAGATCCCAAACACACACTGTAATGATATAATTGCGGGTATATGTTTTGTAAGCATGTTTTGTAAGCAACGAAACAATATCGTTTTTGAATATTCTGCTATGAAATCATTACAGGATTTTTTTAATGTAATTCTGTGATCACAGGTATATTTTGAAATTATGTAAAGGAACATGTGTATTTTGTATGTGATGTTTTACAAACGAGGATGATGTTTGCATGTCTATATAAATAGCTTTATTTAATATTTAATTTGCACATTTTCACAAATGAGAATTTTTTCATGACAGTTATGTGGTTCTTCTTAAATGTTTTTTTGTTCAGCACACTAGCAGTTGTGACCAGAGATTAGGGGATTGGTGTAATTGTGGAGTGGAACTACATTAGTATTAGATCCTTTGCTTCCTGTGTGGAATGGAACTTTATATAATGGAGCACTCTTTGTTTGATTCAGTGAAAATGACCGCTGAAATAGTGATCATTTCTATTTTTGGAGTGCTTGCACAACAAGATTTCCATTAACATGCATCACTTCTCAGGAACATTATACAGTATCACATTTATGCTGGACATTTTACTGACAAGATTCTGCTCTCTATTTCACAGTCAATATGTTTCTGTGAAAAATAGGTACAGTGAGTAACAGTATTTAATGATGTAAGACCATATTACAAAACATTAAAAACTGAATCTGGTAAATTACTATTATGTGAATCTGAAACAGAAAACGATAGATTGATAATAGTGTAGCTGGTGGACATTGATGTGTAACTAAGGATCTGTTGTATCCGTGTTGTGACCACTTCTGTGCGTTTTCTGTTGCTTGTTACTGTTTGGTATCTATGCTGTATGATACTGAATTCTGTGTGTTGTAGGATGCTGAATGTACACAGTTTTTTTTGCAATATTTGACTACACTGCCTTTCAGGGTCTTTACCAAACACTGTTGTAAATATTATCATACCACTATTTAACTTCACCAATGTGTGTTAGCTTAATGCTGGTTGTACTGCACACATGGTTTGGGAATGTACAGCTGTTGTTTTATAAATATGGATGTTTTTATTGTATAATTTTGGTGTCTATTTTTGTATCACTCCAAAGTAAATATAATCCACGTGAAGTTTATCTACTGAAGGTTCTATAGATTTACCTCCCCTTAAATAAGGGAATCAATGTCATACAAATA